CCCCCAATCCCATCCATCCCTGCCGTTCTCCTTGTCCTGGCACTCCAAGCCCTTGGCTAAAGTCCCACTCCAGCTGTGGGGAACTGGGATTCCAGCTGTGGTCCCAGGGCTCTGACCACGATTCCAGCTGTGACCCCACGGCTCTGACCACGATTCCAGCTGTGACCCCAGGGCTCTGACCACGATTCCAGCTGTGACCCCAGGGCTCTGACCACGATTCCAGCTGTGGTCCCAGGGCTCTGACCACGATGCCAGCTGTGGTCCCAGTGCTGGGATCCTTTGCTCTGAGTAAAAACCTGGAAAAACCTCCATGGTTCAGAGCAGGAACCCACACTTGGAGCTTTCCCTTTCCCAACAGCAGAACTTTTCCTGGATTGTCACAGAACCCTGGATTTTGGGTTGGAGGCACCTTAAAGCTCATCCCATCCCCCCTGCCATGGCAGGGACACCTCCCACTGTCCCAGGCTGTCCCACTGCCCCACCTGGCCTGGGACACTGCTGGGGTGGGGCAGCCACAGCTTCCCTTCCCACCCCAACCATTCCAGGATCCGAGGATACATCCTCATCCTCATTTCCCAGCACGAATGGGACTCCTGGCTGTGTGCAGCCTCCAGCTCCCTGTGGGGGCTGTGAGCATTTCCCAGGACGGGTGACCATGGAGCACACACAAAACAAGCCCTGCCCACACCAAATGCTGCTCTCCAGCTGTCTGGGCAGCATCCAGAGCTGCAGGTGTTTCCCTGCTCCCTCCACAAGCCCATGGCTGCACTGAACTCCAGGAACTCAAAGATGATGGAACAGCAGGAGCTGGCAGGGGATCAGAGCCGCCTGGAGCTGCAAATGGGCGATTTTTGGGCAAACTGGCAAAAACTGGGGAGAGTGCAGGAAGCCAGGGCTGCACAGGGCACAGCCAGGCTGAGAAGAAGAGCAGCAAAGTGATCTGGAATGGTTGAGGCTGGAAAAGCCTCCCAGGGCAGCCAGTGCCACTGTCCCTGCACTGCCAAGGCCAGCAGTGCCCGTGTCCCCAAGTGCCACCTCCACCACAAACACAGAAATGCTGATCTGCTTACAGAGGAAGGCTCCTGCATCTCCACGACTGGTTTGGATTGTGGAACAGCCAAGAAATTAATTTCAACAATCCTTCTTGTCCTTGCCCACCTGGCTGAAGTGCACTTTGTCCCCAGCCCATTTCCCTTTTCCCACTGCTGCTCCCAACTCCTCCACCTTTAAAACCTCACTCATTCCAACTGAGGAGCTCTGGGATGTGGGAGAAGAACAGAGTGAGAGGCTGCCAAGTGTAAATATTCCAAATAAAAAAAAGTCAGGAGCCCAACCTGTTGTGATTGTTCCAAACCCATTGCATGGCTGAGTTTAATATAATTTAATTTTTAATATCCATATCCGGGCTCATTAACAGGCACAGCTTCCAAAAACTGCTCTGGAACATCCCAGGAGCACACACGAGTCCCGGGCACCACACATCCCTCAGGGAACACCCCATGGATCCAGGGGGGATCCTGGCACGGCCCCACCAGAATTCCTGAGCCCACATCCCCCACCACGGGGGGCTCCCTGGGAAGCAGCACGTGCTGCAAACCCACAGATTTTTTTGGGAGGAAATCCGTGGCACCCGGATTGCTGCTGCTGCTGCGGCGTGTGAGCACGGCTGGGATTGGGGAACGCAGAGGGAATGGAGCTGCAGCGAGGGCTGCCAGGGGATGACCCCAACCCCACTGAGGTTTGACCCTCCCACACGGCACAGGTGAGGTGCCCAGGACGTTGTGCCCGTTCCCAGAGAGCCCCAAACCTGCCAGGAGCCGGCAAAGGGAAAATCCCAAAGAATGAGGGGAACACAACAGGGAGCAGGATGGCAGCACTGCCACCGTGCCAGCCAAGGTGCCAGGCTGCACAGGTGCCCTTGGCAAGGCCCCACACCTGGGCCAGGTGAGCCCCGAGCCAGCACCAACACCAGGAACCACTGAGGGTCACACAGGTACCTGAGAATACACCTGGGCCAGCCCAACAGGTGAGCCCCGAGCCACCAACACCAGGAACCAGCCAGGGTCACACAGGTACCTGAGAATGCACCTGGATCAGCCCAACAGGTGAGCCCAGAGCCACCAACACCAGGAACCACTGAGGGTCACACAGGTACCTGAGAATGCACCTGGATCAGCCCAACAGGTGAGCCCAGAGCCACCAACACCAGGAACCACTGAGGTACCTGAGAATACACCTGGGCCAGCCCAACAGGTGAGCCCCGAGCCAAAACAAACCCTCTGGGAGCAGCTGAGAATCTCACAAACATCGGGGCACGGCTGTCCAGGGACAGCAGCCCAGGAAGGTGCAAATGCCACAGGGGCTGCTCCCAAATCCCCTGGGTCACAGGGAATGTGGAATGGACTCTCCCAGGGGCTGCTCCCAAATCCCAAATTTTCCACGAAAACAACGATGGGGGAACAGGACACAAACCCCACAACAAATTCCTGCTGTCCCACAGATCCAGCCCCGAATTGCAGGAAATCTGGGGGCTCCCAGCCCGGTCCCAGGAAAAACAAGAGCCTGGGAATTCCTGTTCTCTCACACCCGCAGCCCCTCCAGGAAAGCTCTGAAAACCCATCAAACACAACCCGGGCGGGTTTAGGAACAAAAGAAGCGTTTGAACAAGCGGATTTGGGAACGGCAGCACAAACCTGAGCATTAAATCAGGAGAATTCGGGAAGAGGAACCCGAAATAATCGTTTGAACAAGCGGATTTGGGAACGGCAGCACAAACCCGAGCATTAAACCAGGAGAATTCACAAATAAGAACCCGAAATAATCGTTTGAACAAGCGGATTTAGGAACAGCAGCACAAACCCGAGCATTTAATGAGGCAAATCTGGGAGCATTTGAACCAAGGGGATTTGGGAACTGTAGCACAAACCCGAGCATTTAAACGAGAATTTGGGGAAAGGAGCCACAAACCGAGCATTAAAACAGGCGAATTTGGGAACGGGAGCCCAAAAGCAGCGTTTAAACAAGTGGATTTCGGAAACCTAGCTCAAATCTGAGCATTTAAACAGCAGAATTTGGGAAAAGGAACCCAAAAGAAACGTTTAAACCAATGGATTAGGAAAACCTGGTAGAAAGCCGAGCATTTAAAAAGGAGAATTTGGGAACGGGAGCCCAAAAACAAACGTTTAAACAAGTGGATTTAGGAACAGCAGCACAAACCCGAGCATTTAAAAAGGAGAATTTGGGAACAGGAACCGAAAAAAGAGAGTTCCAACCAATGGATTTGGGAAACTCAGCACAAACCTGAGCTTTTAAACAGGAGAATTTGGGAACAGGAGCCCAAAAAAGAACGTTTGAACCAATGGATTTGGGAAATCTAGCCCAAAGCCGAGCATTTAAACCAGAGACTTTGGGAACAGAAGCCCAAAGCCGAGCATTTAAACCGGCGAATTTGGGAAATCGAGCCCAAAGCCGAGCATTTAAACCGGCGAATTTGGGAAATCGAGCCCAAAGCTGACCATTTAAAGAGGCGAATTTGGGAACAGAAGCCCCAAAAGAAGCGTTTTCACCACTGGATCTGGGCACAGCAGCCCAGGAGCAGCGCGGGCCCTGCAGGGCCCAGGACAGAGCCGAGAGCTGAGGAAAACCGGCGGGGCCGGAGCTCAGGACGGGCGGGGGAACACGGAGAGAACACGGGGGGAGCACCGACACCTTCCCCACACGGAGGAGGCCGCGAAGGGAGCCCAGGAGCGGAGGAGAAGCGGCGGAAAGCGGCGCCATCCCCTCAGAGCCGCCCTCCCTCACCCGCGGGCCCGGCCCGGGCGGATCCCCCTTGGCGGCCGCGCCTCTGTCCCGCCCCGAGAGGAGGCCCGGGAGGAGCCGGCCCGGCCCGGCCCGGCCCGGTCCCGCCGCCCCATCGCCCCCTCACCAGCGCCATCGTCGTTGTCGCCGCCATCTTGTCCTTCCCGTCTGCGGCACGCGGCTCTCGCGAGAGCTCCGCGGCGCGCGCGCGGGAAAAGGGGAGGGCCCCTCCCCCCCGGACAAGTATCGCGAGAACTCGGGAGTGTCATGTGATCACAGCGGCTGCCAAGATGGCGGCGCCCAGGCGGCGTCACTGCCGGAGAGGCGAAGCGTGGCGTGGTGTGGTCCCGGAGGGAGCAGAGCTCCAGCTCGGCTCCAGCGGCCCTCAGCGCCCCTGGGCTGGTCCTGGTCCTGGTCCAGCAGTGCCCGGGGCCTCGGAAACGTCCAAAGCTGCCGGTGCCATGCGCAGGGCTGTAACTGGCTGGGCCCTGGATAAAACGGGCTCAAGCCGGGTAAACCCAGCTAAAACGGGATAAAACGTGCTCAATCCGACCGGCAGCGGGTGGCCCTCGGTCGCAGGCAGTGGGAGGAGCCACAGGAAGCTCCCCCCGGTACCGGCCGTGGGCACCGGGAGGTGCCGGATGTGTCACTGGAGGGCGGACCGGGACCGGCTGCTGGAAGTGCAGTGAAATGTCCCTGTCCCCATTGCGGGGTCTCTGTCCCTTCTCTTGGTTCTGTTCGAGTCCCTGGCGTGCAGATTTCAGTGCAGAGCCAAGGGCACAGCCCCGCACCGGGAATGGAGCCGGGCTGGGAGAGCTGGGAACGTTCTGGCCAGGGGAACCTTCAGGGGCCACCTTGGATCCCCTTCCAGGGCCTGAACGGGCTCCAGGAGAGCTGGAGAGGGAACCCAGGCAAAGGCTTGGAGGGACAGGACAAGCAGAAATGGGGGCAGGGATAAATTAAATGGATTATTGGGAAGAAATCCTTCCCTGTGAGGGGGGTGAGGCCCTGGCAGTGCCCAGAGCAGCTGTGGCTGCCCCTGGATCCCTGGAATGTTCCAGACCAGCTGGATGGGGCTTGGAGCACCCTGCTCCTGTGGAAGGTGTCCCTGCCCGTGGCACTGGGGGGTCTTGGGGGTCCCTTCCCACCCTGCCACCCTCGGTGCAGCTCTGGAATGGCTCTGCAACAGCAAATGTCCCTGGCCAGGGGTGGGCTCTGCCCCAAGGACCAGCAGCCCCCGCAGGGCACGGGCCCTGTCACAGCCAGCACCAGGATCTTGTGTTCCCACTCTGGAATATTCACAAGGCTGAGGAAAACCCCCAAGGAATTCACGGAGCCCCCGGGTTTTAGGAAGGATTTGGGGAGTTTGGGCCCCTAAAGCTCACCAAGGGCAGGGAATTGCAGGGTCCTGTTAATTCATGGATTTATGGGAGGGGCTGGGATGTGCTGGAATGTCTGGGGCCCGGGGCAGGTCTGCTCTGCAGGGATTGGGAACTGGGAGCTGTGAGGTGTCCCCTGAATCCCTCCTGGGCTCCACTGGAACGAGGAATTACGAGCAGAGCCCTGCATGGGACTGGACTGGCTGCTTTATTGATTTGTCAGCTTGGAACAGTGGCACGGCTGGGGATGCAGCACAGGCTGGGGATGCAACCCCAGAGAGCCAGAAATGCAGCACAAGCTGGGAATGCAACCCCAGAGAGCCAGAAATGCAACCCCAGAGAGCCAGAAATGCAACCCCAGAGAGCCAGGAATGCAACCCCAGGGAGCCAGCAATGCAGCACAGGCTGGGAATGCAGCACAGGCTGGGGATGCAACCCCAGAGAGCCAGAAATGCAACCCCAGAGAGCCAGGAATGCAACCCCAGTGAGCCAGGAATGCAGGACAGGCTGGGAATGCAACCCCAGAGAGCCAGCAATGCAGGACAGGGTGGGGATGCAGCACAGGGTGGATGAGCAGGGATAAAATCCCTGTGGGATGCAGCTGGAGCAGCACCACAAAGCAGGAGTGGCCCAGGGCAGGCAGTGACACACACAGAGAGCTGTGACAGTGACAGTGACAGTGACACACACAGAGCTGTGACAGTGACACACACACACACACACACAGCTGTGACAGTGACAGTGACACACACACACACACACACACACACACACACACACACGGCTCTGGGAGCTGCCCAGGGCACAGTGGGAGCAGCAGGAGCAGCACAGAGCACAGAGCAGGGTGCCAGAGCCAGTTTTCCCTGGCACAGGGCACTGGCACAGGGCAGTGGCACAGGGCAGTGGCACAGAGCAGTGGCACAGGGCACTGGCATGGTGCAGATCACTGGGACAGAAGCAGAGCCAGCTTTCCCTGGCACAGCAGCAGCAGCACCAGCACAGAACACTGGCACAGAGCACAGAGCAGGATTTCAGAGCCAGCTTTCCCTGGCACAGCAGCAGCAGCAGTGGCACAGAGCAGGGTGCCAAAGGCAGTTTTCCCTGGCACAGTGGGAGCAGCAGGAGCAGCGCTGGCACAGAGCACAGAGCGGGATTTCAGAGCCAGTTTTCTCTGGCACAGCAGGAGCAGCACTGGCACAGGGCACTGGCACAGGGCACTGGCACAGGGCACTGGCACAGGGCACTGGCACAGAACACTGGCATAAGGCAGCGCAGAGCAGGGTGCCAGGGGCAGATCTCCCTGGCACAGCCAGAGCAGCACCAGCACAAAGCAGGATGCCAGGGGCAGTTTTCCCTGGCAGGGCAGCAGCAGCACCAGCCCAGAACACTGGCATAGGGCAGCGCAGAGCAGGATTTCAGAGCCAGCTTTCCCTGGCACAGCAGCAGCAGTGGCACAGA